GCCAGAGGCTTCCGTCAGCAAAGCTCGGGCTGGACCCAGGGATGGCGGCAGCGGGGGTAGCAGGGTTCGGCGACGCGAGGCCCTCTGCCGGCGGCTCATCTGGCCGCGGTCGGTGGCGGTCTCATCCGGCGCGGGCTGCCTCACGGTGGTGGTTGCGAGGCGGTGGCAGGCGGCTGTGCAGCGGCGGTGTGGCGGCCGATGGACCTGGTGACCTGGATCTGGATCCAGCGAGCCGGTCAGGCGCGTCGCCGGCCTGCAGGTGGCGAAGGGCAGAGGAGTTGGGCGGTGTGGTGTGCGCGCACGGGCTGCGTGGTCGTGCGGGGGTGCAGTCTAGCCGGTGTGGGATGCTCCTTGGCGCCCAGATCTGCTTTTCCTGAACTCACCCGGCCAACCGGCGTTCGTGGCCACGGCCAGGGGGACGGCGGTGGATGTCGTCGACAGAGTTTGACTACGGTTGTGGTGGGGTGTGGTTGGAGGCAAGGGCTTGAATGCAGGTGGCAGCCGACAACGACCTGACTCCGGCTATGCAGGTGCTCGAGGTGAGCTTCTGTGTTAATGGAGCCTCATGCTAGTCCTAGTGGGGACGCTCGCCGTGGACTGGTAGGAGGGCGAGGAGGTATCGGGCTGCAGGGCACATCGGTCAGCTTCAACGGAGATGACGGGGACGGGATGCTTCAGGCGAAAGCCTTGTGTCGATCTTGTCGGCAACGATGACGGCGACGCCTTCGGGCGCCATTTCCCTTCTTGAAGGCGTCATCGGGAAGCTACTGTTACCCTCTTAATAGTGTGCCCCGGGCGAAAGCCTCAGATCCATCTCTGGATCGGACGACGACGGCGTCTCGATGTCGTTTCTCCCCCTTGAGGGCGTTGTTTTTGGGGGCCACGGATCCGCGGTTGGCAGCTTGATGTCTGGATTGGAGTGGTTGTTGGGTTGTTGGTGTGCAGGGTAGTGGCGGTGGAAGTGATCTGTGGCGGCGACCAATCCCTTGGTCACCTCGATGCTGATGGTTGACCTTATCTCTTGGGAGCTCGTGGCGACGATGAGGTCTCGGTGTTCGGTGCCCTTCGACGGCGTCTGAGGCTTTGTTGCCTGGCATAGTGCTTTGGTTCTCTCTATTTTTGATGGTGGCCGTGGTGTGGCCTAGAGGAGGTGCAGGGTTTGTCTCGGTGGAACATTGCCCTTCGGCACGGTCTGTGGCTCTCTTTGCCGCGACGTGGCTAGGCAGTGGGATGCCCTTTGACAGTGGTTGCGACTTCCTAGCTCTTCAAGGTACAGAGTGATCGCAGGGCAGCCGGCAACTTCTTCTCTACGTCTTCTCGGTGACGGATCTCCTTTCGATTGATTCAACAAAGCTTGCTTCCGCTCTTCTCGGTCCAACTAGTGGTGTTGGGTGCTAAGTTCTTGGTGTTGGCTGCTTGTCGTAGCTCTTTTCTGGTTCTTCTTCTGTTCTTTCTTGTGCCTTCTTGTGTGTGTTGGTTGCTTTCTGTTGTATCTGATGTCTTGTATCTTTCTCTTATATATAATGAAAATAGTTTAGGCTGGCGTAAGCCCGCCGTAGCACCGTCAAAAAAAAAGTAAGACGTTTTTTAGCACTAGTGTAGTATCAAAAAACGTCTTACATCATGGGACGGAGGGAGTAGATCACATTTCATTTGGTAAGACATGATTCATCAAGCACCCAAATGATTAATTTGTATCACAAATAGAAATGGTACAAATTTACAGACGGTCTCCATCTGCTTCTTATATTTACCACTAAAACAGATGAGTATGGCAGCACGCTATGATGTCCAAGCACACCCAAAAAGAACTATGGTATTGTACACCGCTAGTTATGTCCAACAAGTGGCAAACCGATGGCCCCAGACAAATCAAATCAAGATCACATTTTAGTCTTTCAGCATTGCATGTTCTGAGCTCATGGCCATGTCCCTTGCCAACCTGTCAGGATAGCTGCTGCACCTAAACTGCATTGCCCTCTTTACTTTCTCCCTCACCCCTATAAATCCATCAGATTAGCACCACCACCACCACATCAGTTCATTCAGAAACCAAAGCAGCATTCCTGCACCTAGCCAAGAAAGAAATACAAGGAGTAAAAGAAACATGGTTAGTGCCAAGAGACTTGCTCAGATGGCAAAGAAGTGGCAGAGGATGGCGGCCATCGGGAGGAAGAGGCTCACCCAAACCATATCAGCGGCCAAAGGAGCAGCCAATGACGAGCGATGTGCAACTTCGCCATCAGTGGCAATGAAGGGCCACTGTGTCGTGTACACCGCCGACAGTGTGCGGTTTGAGGTGCCGCTGGCATACCTCGACACGGCGGTCTTCTGCGAGCTCCTGGCGATGTCCCAGGAGGAGTTCGGCTTTGCAGGTGGCGATGATGGGAGGATCATGCTGCCCTGTGATGCCACGGTCATGGAGTATGCCCTGCGCTTGCTCCGGAGAGATGCCTCCACAGAAGTCGTGATGGCATTCATGAGCTCCATCGCGAGGCCGTGCAGCTTCGAGGGCAGTGTGGTGGGCGTAGGGCTTAACCAGCAAGTAGCAGTTTGTTAGCTTCTGAAGAATGGCATGCAGCTGTAGAGGAGCTACATTTAGCCCTGCTATGTTAATTGCATCATATGAATATACAGTATAGCAAGTTGTAGATTGGAGAAGGAAATTTATGAAGATTACCTTGCATTTCTCGACATGGTGAACTTTTGTAACTCCAATAATGAAAACCTTGGGTATATACACCAAAGTTTTAAATAGCCGCCTATAGCCCTGCTATGGCGCTTTGAGCAGGGCGCCGCTAAACGTAAGGCTATAGGATTCATGTATAATTGTTCGAAAAAGTTCTGAAATTGCCCGCTATAGCTTCTTTGTAGTGATTTGGAGGAGCGCCGCTATTTGGCATAGCTCGCTATTTAAAACAATGATAGTGGCGACACTCCTTATAAGAAATTAAGCACACATATCTTGTTGGCAAGAGGTACCAAATGTGTATCATTTCTTCTGTCTGATGTGATGATTCAGGAAAGCTGATAGCTGTTTTCTTCGCTGAAGTTAGGTCCAGCTTGCAGCTTCAACCATGTCGAATGTAACCATCTTAACAAGCTACACTAGTTATTGGAAAAAGTCATGATGATATAAACACAAGTCTAACAACATATGATGATAGTTGAATGCTGACACAATGACCCGATCATAGCTGCATAGAGGGACTCGAATGGCGCGGATCTTCATATAGCTTCATTGGGCCTCTACGGTGAGGGTTGAGTCAAGGATCACCCACGGCAAAGTCAGAGTCGTTTTGCTCAGGGTTTAGGGGTGTCGATGACACCCGATGACGCCAGCGCGCTGTCTCAGCGAGGCACTCTTCGGAATGGTGTGAGTGGGTATATTATATGGGCCGTTCTTGTCACCGGGTTTTCTCTAATTATCTGGGCAATCTGGTTTCGCTCGGTTTCTTCTAAGTAACCGAGCAACTCTTTTCTTCTTAATGAATGCAATAATCCTGCCATTTCAAAAAAATGGACGATAATTTGAAGTCATGAAGAAGAGTCTAATGAAAGTCTCGTCTCCTTGATACAAGAATCTAGTCTGTCATCCAACTTGGTTATACTAGACACATTTTTGCTTCTCCACGGCATAAGCTTCTTTGATCCCCGTCCCTCGCTTTTCACTCAAACACCACATTTGTGCAACATGAGCCTCGGCCTATTTGGGTGGTTCTTTGTTGCTTGCCCCCAGTCTTGTCTTGTTTGGTCAGGTACTCCAGAGTCAACCGTTATATTGCCAGCACAATTTCTCTCAATAGAGTAGCATATGGATGGATGCAAACGAGCTAGCCAATATAACACTTAAGGTGAATTCTATGTAATTTTTTTTTGCGCGGTGAATTCTATGTAAATTGTAATTGAACGATAATCCGTCTGTAAAAGAGTCCAACTGTCCTTTGAAACTCATGTCCTCAAGTTTGAAAGCATTTGATTTGTGAAGCACAAGTCTCTTGTTGCTATATGTCTTTGTGATAAAACTTTGTCCATTTTTGTACAAGTGAATTGTAATCAAATTCTTCCGATCTGGATCTGAGCTACTAGCATATGCGAATGATCATGCATACGACTGAAATCAGGGAACAAAGCAGCCATGCGCATGAGTAAATTGTGCATGTTTGCCAGTAATTAGAGAATAGGTACTGGAATGGGCGCTTGTCCAACTAGCACCGCGGACAGTCGCTTCAGGAGGTGCGCACATATCGGCATGCCTCAACCCCTAGTATATATACATCATGGCGAGCTGCATCAAAGATGGAAGTGCGTAACATAAACAGCATATAAAAAGGCAGGTGAATCAAGCTAGGTGCATACATGAGGTAGTTGGTCCAAGGACAAGCGTTGTCCTTTGTGATGATCTTAGAACATACTGCACCTCACGTTCATGCACCTAGCCTGGAGATAACTGTCACATAACTACATGTCGAGACACCAGCTGTTCTCAGGAGTGCCTTTATAAATCTACTCGTTTATGTTATCAGCAGGTATTTTCTTTGGGCGAGCTAGCTAGCTATATTCACGCGTGCGGTTGTGGTTGTTTGTCGTACCTTTACTCCATGAGAAATACTATCCATGCTATAGATGAGGAGTACGTTCATTACATGACCGCGCTGTATGGAAATGTGAGGCAACAGGAATCTGGACGAGCAGTCCTGCGTTGTGCAGCCGCAAGCGGCCACACTCCTCATGAAAGGTTGATGATGTTAATGTCTCTAATGTGCATCGCCTAGTCCAATGTGACAATGACACGGAGCTGGTACGCTCTCTTGGACGGCGAGGAGAGGTCATCTTTCTTACGGGTTTTCATGACAGCTGCACTCACCGCTTTTATAGCTGGTTCAACGAAATCAAATTGGAATTCTGATGCATTTAGATGATTTTTTTTTTGTGGGGGTAAAGAGAGTTTCATTGCATAGTTGTAGTGTTATAGTCAAGAGTCCACAAATCCTCAATACAAGGTGGAATCAAGTTCATCCACATAGCCGTGGCGCACTCGAAGCGGCTATAATTGGCCAACCGATGTACAACTCCATATTACACATCAACTCTTTAATTTCTAGAACTATCCATAAGCTGAGCGAGTCAAGGCATTGCTTGAGAGGATTGAGAGTGCCTCAGAAGAGTCCGCCTGAACTACCACTGGACGTGACGTGTGTTGGATAGCCAAGGCCATCCCTTGCATAATTGCATGAATTTCCGCCTCCAGTACATTATTACAGTGAAAAATCACCCGGTAAGCTGCAAATATGATTCTACCCTCACTATCCCTGAGCACCATCTGATTCCTTGAAAGAACCATCAACGGACAGGGCAGCCGACCCATAATTAGGCGCTGGCCAGGGAGCATTGTGCCAACGGAACCTTCAGGTGAGACCCGACTTGCACTTTCCCCTTCAGTATCTCGTCAGTAGTAAAGCGTCCAGCAAGCCTTGATCGATTTGTAGTAGCTGTCAAGAAAGTCCACCGTAGCCTCAACCGGCGCGACAACCTTGCCATGTGTTTGGTCTGTTCGTAGCTGCCACACACGCCAAATGACCATGATGATTTTTTTTGAACTGTTACCAGGGGGGAAGGCTTCCCACCTGAATATATTTCAACAAAACTTCATCAACAAGGTTTATGCAAGACGAGAGGAGAAAAAAATCCCGCCACTATCCGGCGTGGATTTTTTGGTCCGCCTTTTTAAGGCGGTGTGACCAGAGAGTGAGGTCGGAGATTACGGCTCTAATTACATCATTTGGGGTTTGGTTTATCCCCCTGAAGGTCATCGCATTTCGCGCAACTCAAATTTTCCAGAGTAGCAACAGGACGACGAAAGGCCACACCATCTACGGCAAGGTGGGGTGGCATGGAGGAACATGGCTGCAGCCCAAGTGCATCCCAAATGGCAATAGCAGCGGGGCACGATCTTCCTGCGCCCCGTTGCAACAGGGACAGGACGACGAGTCGATGATGATCTTACGGTGTAGAATGGCTCGAGTGCTAAGCTTGTCGAGATAGAACAACCATCCAAACACCCGCACCCTGTTGGGAACCCTCGAATCCCATATGTGAGCAAGGTTGGGGCCGGACAGCTAAGAGGCAAGAGCGTCATAGGCGCCTTTGGTGGAAAAGGCAGCCCCGTTGAGCAGCGATCTTTCGTCTGGATCTCCCATGAGGTGCATGTCCTGCAATAACAGTCTCAAGGAAACAAGTTCATTGGAAGCAGTTAAGGTTAGTCGGCTACGTAAGCCCAGATCAATCTCATCCATCATAATATTTTTGACTAATGCATTTGGCTTTGTGTGGTGAGAAAACATGGTTGGGAAGGTGGTGGCGAGAGACTCTGAAAGTATTCAGCGATCTAACCAGAAGAAAGTGGAAGAGCCATCTCCTATCCTAACTTGGGAGATCTCTCGTAGTGTATGTAGATGCTTGAAGATAGCCTTGCTGAGGAAGGAGGCATTTTCCCCTAGACCTATATGTAGTGGGGAG